TCTAACGACTACGGCATGCACGACTATGAGTACACCCCCCCCCTCAGATATGAAGATATTTGTAAACGTTTATCCCGTTCGGATACGACGCTAAAAACAAAATGCAAGGGGCAAATCTAACCAACTACTCCTGCATTAGGAATTCACACACCCCCTCTGGCCCTCATTTAGAAAGACATGTCACATGTAAACAACCAAGATGAAAACAACAAGGATATTCTCTCTGCCTTGATTTCCACATTTTATCATTTTCAACGATGCGCTGTTTCGACAGATAAACGACCGCGACAGAAAAAGCTTCGTGTACCCGATGTATGCACCCCAACGACGTTTCGACTATATTTGCTCGTCGCTGTTGTGTCGCTGCTAGTTGTCGCAAACAAAAACATACGTTGTACATCTATTCTGTTGATTTGATGTGTTGTTCACTGTTTTCGTCCTTGGCAATCACGCATACATAGCGTATCCTCACCAAAGGGTCTGAGCAAAGCACAGTCGTCCAGGGAACCGGACTTAGGGTAACACTTGGAGGCATCGATAGCCCCGGCGTACTTGAAGCGCTTGGTGGACATGCCGTTTCTTCTCTCCTTCTCCGCCAGCTTCACCAGGCTGTTTCCGGCGGGGGGAAAGGGTTGCCGCACCATCGTCGCCATGCTTCGTCGGGTACTTTCAAAATATGCATATACACGTTCCATGAAAACATACACATGCACATAATACATGCCTACATGCATGCCTACAACATACATGCATACGTGCATGGTAGATGGAAGCGGGACTGAGTCGTGTTGACAGGGTGGGGATGGGGTGAGCTGCTCCAGACAAAGTCCAACCATCAGGACAACAAAGCAACACACTTGGAACACAACTCTGAAACTACAAGTGATGACAAGCTATAATACAAACAAATTGACTACTATTTACAAGGCGGCATCGCGCGTGGTCTATACGTGAGACACTATCCAACCGATGCTGTCGGAAGCAGGGGTGGTGATGACGTGGTGAAGGACTTGTCATGGATGGGTGCCGCTAACGAGGAGGGAACGATGGGTTATCGTCGAGCACCTCGCACCATCACGAACACTCGGCAAGCGCTTATCACGCTTGAGTTGCACTCGACGACAGCTTGGACTTCACAAAGTGGTTGCGTTGTTCTTCCGAAACGCTATAGCGCCTTTGATGTCTTAAGCTAGCACCCGCGCAGCACGAACAACGGACTCGTGGTTGTAGACAGGCGATCGTGTGTGCCGCAGCGACTGTACATGTGTTTCAATGTTTTCGTTTCGTTTCAACTGTTCCCACCTCTTCATGTGTGTTGATCTCATTCCGTACACACTCTGCCTCCGCCTCTTTCTCTTTCCCTTTCTCTCTCTCTCTCTCTCTCTCTCTCTCTCTCTCTCTTTGTCGATCTCTCTCTCTCTTTCTCTCTCTCTCTCTCTCTCTCTCTCTCTCTCTCACCTGTCCCCACTCGCGTACACCACAATAGCGAAGGCCTTCTCTCTCAGCCTCCTCCTGTCCTCCTCCTCGAAGCTCCCGTTGCGCTCCTCCCCCTGCCTCTCCTCCTCCTCCTCCTCCTTCGCCGCCGCACCCTGCCCGCCCACGTCGAACGACCGCTGCACCTCTTCCCGTATAGCGTCACTGAGCCCCCTACCCCTGTCCCCCTCCAGAGCCTCCATCGCAGCGTTGCTCGTCGTTCTGTGCCAGTTTATCCCCTCGGTGTCGTCCTCGGTGCTACCGCCGACCTCCCGCGCACCATCGTCCGACTCGGAAGGGGTCGTTGCCGCCGCTTCTGCCGACACCGCCGCAGCCGCCGCCGCCAGCGCCGCTTCTTCCGCCGCGGCGACTCGCATGATGGCCGCCTTGCCCGCGCTGCTCGACCGCACGGCCCTCTTTCCGTTGTTCCCCACGTCGGACTCCGTGATGCTGCGGGAACGGCCGCGGCTTCGGCGGGACATCATGGCCGACGCGCTCCCGGGGCTAAGGTCGCCTGTTCGTCGTAGCCGCCAGCGGCCAAACAGCCAGGCAGGTATCAGATGTGCGAACCATCGACACACACAAATGACAATAATGAGTTGCTTTTGCCGTGCAAGCGAGCAAGCAGGCGGCGGGTGTGTCCCGGGCGGGGGAGGTGTCAGCTATTGCGAACTATTGCTTGTGTGTTCTTCTACTCCTGAGAGGCCTTCATCTGGAATGTGCGTCAGGACGAGAGGCGGCGCAGCCCGCGGCACAGGGTGCAACAGGTCGTTCTACTGGTCACATTAACAATAAACACGACCTCGGGCGTGGGGGGG